TTAAGATATGCCATTAAGAGAAGTCTCTTGACCTTCTGATGATACATGGCCGTCATTTCTATAACTCTCATCCATGAACGTAGGCTTTTAAGCTCTAGTAACGTCTACATTGATGCGCCACCGCCGTTACAACTGTTGGTATGCCGGTTGAGCTCATGTCCAGTGTAAGTACCGAGTTGATGGGGTCTATACTTAACTTTGTAGGAGCTCGACTGATGGGAGTCGGGTTATGTGACCGGTTCGGGATATAGGAGATACTTTCCTAGCTCTCTGCATTGCTCGACCTTTCTTGCTATCATAGTCTAGTTCATGCTTAACCTTTTCCGGCTATACAAATCGGCTTAAAATATATTTGGCATGTACAAATAGCACTAGGGTTATCGTACATAATAGGAATAAATTGCAATTTAATGTCAATGTCAAGTAGTTATTATTTTAACCACAAAATTTGAGCGCAACAACTACTAGCTGCGACGTATTCCACCTCGTCAGTTGACAAAGCAACAAATACTTTTTTCTTGCTATGCCAACTTACTAAAGAGTTTGAAAATATGTGGCAAGTCCCACAAATTTATCACACAAATTATGAACACGATAATTTGCACACGAAATGTAGAAGAGATAGCGAGAGACTTCATAATGATTTGTTTAGGCAGTTCCCAAATCGGCCTCGCTATGGGTACGTATGCTCTAAATTCGAATTAGAATTGAAATCATGTAATTAACCTTGCTTTGCAATAGTAATTTTTATAAGAGAAATGTAACAATGCAACCAAACCCTAAGATTGATGTTAATCCAAGCAATTTCTCTTCCCTTGATCCAAGCTTGATCAAGTCACCCAACAACGCTAATTCGATTCAGTGTCTCACACTACTCATTTGCAAGAACCGCAATCCTTCAAAGCCTTCACTCAATATAATCCGAATTGCAACCTATTGTAACCCAAGATTTACCAAAATGATCAATCGTCTCACTCTACTCCTTTGCAAGAACCACAGCCCTTTAAAGCCTTCACTTAATCGAATCCAAACTTGAGTAATCTTGTCCAAAACCTTCAAATTCACACTTTGATCTTGAAGAAAAACCTCACCTTGGTTTTCTTATTTGAAACCCCCCATAAGATCTCAACCCAATTTACAATACCACAAGCTAAATTGAAACTTATCAACTTGATTCTAGATGGCACCCAAACAATGAATGATTATGTGTATGTTATTTATGTGTATGCATAAAACCAAGGTTGAAGATGATGATGACTCATAGTATGTTCCAAGTTCCACTTATGATTTTTCCAAAATCATTCAAAATGAAATGACGTATGTATGAAGTATTTATCTGCATGCATGTTAGGAGGCAAAAGGAATGCAAAAGACTTGAAAAAAATATGAATTTTTGGAAATTTTCATTGTATAGGTCGACCTATGAGAGTCATGTGTCGACATGTGAAGGTCATGTGCCGCCTATGTGTCGACCTGAAGAGGCGTCACACAGGATATAACCTACAAGCTTTAATATTGTAGCATGGGTGTTGACCTACGGAATGGATGTGTCGACCTATAGATGAGACATTTTTTCTATAGGTCGACCTGTAGATTTATGTGCCGATATATAATGCAGATTTTCACAAAATATTATTATTCATGCATTTTTTATGCATGAGACCTTTTCTAAGTTGTTTCTAAATGAATATATGCTTCCTAATGCTAATATGCACATTGAGAGTCAGAAGATACAGTCCAATATACATTATCTCTAAAATATTCTAGTTTTGACATTATGCAGAATACATCTAACAGAAAGTTGCACTCACAGATTTTCCTGCGGATTTGATAACAACATACATGTATCTTTACTTCTTCTAACACGATGGATATCCAACAAGTTTGTAGCAACATTAGGGAAAAACTCTCAGATGATCATAAGATGAGTTGCATTCAAGTGTTCTCTGATGATGAAGTCAAAGATGTTATCTTTCAGATGCATCCTACTAAAGCCCCTGGACCCGATGGTCTTCCAGCTTTTGTTTTTCCAAAAGTACTAGTCTGTTGTTGGCAAGGATGTTATCAAGGTGGCTCTCGACATTCTTAACAATCACAAAAACCCAGCTGATATCAACCCTACTTTTATTACCCTGATCCCTAAACATAAGAACCTCAACACACCTAAGGAGTTTAGACCCATAAGTCTCTGCAATATTGTCATGAAAGCTATCACCAAGACGATTGCAAACAGGCTTAAAGGGTTCCTTCCAGACATTATTAGTGAGGACAAAAATGCTTTTTCCAAAGGTAAGCTCATTACTGACAATGCTCTAATTGCTATGGGTTGTTTTCACTGGATGAAAAACAAGAAGAAAGGTAAAAAAGGCACCATGGCTTTGAAACTTGATATGTCCAAAACATATGACAGGTTTGAATGGGAATTCATTTTAAGTTCTCTCAAAGCTCTTGAATTTCAGTCCCGAATTATCCAATTAATCTCCCTCTGCATTTCTTATTTCTCTTATCAGCTTCTTGTTAATGGTCGTCCCATCAGGTGTTTCTTTCTTGCAATGGGATTACGACAAGGTGACAACCCTTTGCTTAAGAGATAAGGGCAGGTACTATCCTAGATGTGATACCACTGATGCTCCTGCTGGTTTCAGTCTTAACTATGTGTGGTGGAGCATTATTAGTGCCAAAGAGGTGGTTTTGAATGGCTCTTGATAGAGGATAAGGAATGGTGAAAAGGGGAAAATCTTAGGTGACAATCGGATACCTTCGGTCCCTGGTTTCAAACCTCATACTCCTGCGCGAATCTTGGAAGCTAATAACAAAGTCCGTAAGTTGATTGACTCTGACATGAGAATGTGGGATTTACATGTTCTGAAGGATAATTTTGATGACAATGAGGTTGTTCACATATGAAGTATTCCTCTTTCTGATAGGCCACTAGAAGATAAGCTGATATGACACTTTGAGAAAAATGGAGAGTGTTCTGTCAAGACTGTGTATCATTCTCTTAAGGAGTTGAGAAAAATGGAGAGTGTTCTGTCAAGACTGTGTATCATTCTCTTAAGGAGTTGAAGCGTGTTAGAAAACCAAGACCATCGTCCAGGGTGAGGAAAAAATGTGGATATTCGTCAACTATTTTTGTGATCATTAAGTTGAAACGTTTGAAAAATAATAAATACTCGACTCCATATTTATGTTTTAAATTTTATATCTGCGTAAGAATTGATATCTCGTATCCATGACACCTTGATTATAAATAATTTTAAAGTCACAATTAATAGACTTAATTATTTTAATAATTTTATTAAGTCATCATGTTAAATGACAATTATTAATCCTTTATTAATACATTAAGCAAATACAAAAGTAAAATTTTGAATTTTAATTTTATTATATTTAATTAATCTAGAACAATAAGGTGAAAACAGCGTATGAAAAAAGCTATGCTATGAAACAAACAACACCCTTTTAAAAATTTCTTTTTATTTTTCCTATGTGTTTGGAATTAACTTTTCATTCCTCTCTCGCTATCTTCAAATCCTTCCATTTCCATGAACCTTCTCCTCACGCTCCAACAAACGATTTGGTAGTAAGATTCATCCCTTTCCGTTCTTTTTTGTTCGTATTCCCCTGTTTTTTTGGATCGCTTGCATTTCATCTGCAAAGTTTTCGTTTTGATTTTCCCTTTCTGAGTGCAGTGTGCGATTTTTATTTTGTTTTTTTTATTATATTTTATTTTTTTAGTGCAGTTTTTGTATGATGACATTCAAAGTTGGTGTGGTTTGTGTTTGTTTTGATTGTGTGGTTATAGTACGTTTGGTTTTGGCATGATTTGTGAATTTCATGTATTTGTGTTGTGTAGTTGTTATAAGCTATGTAGCATCGTTCAAAACTTCTAATTGAAGTTACGTGTGACACTGATGCATGAAGTTACATTCCATCTCGTATATTTTAAAAATAATTGTTGGTGTATATCTATCGGTGTCAGTGTCGTGTCTGGTGTTCCCGTTAGCGTTGGTCCTTTGTAGTGTATGAGCAAAGTACTAGTTTGTGTGTGTTAAAAGATTTGAAGGGAAATTTAAATATCTATAGATTGCTGTTCTAGAATATTTTCCTTAAAGCTTATATGTTTGTTGTTTGAATGAATGAGGATTAGTGAGTTTATAGCGATATGGAAGATTCTGTTCTAGCAGTTCTTATTAGTCTTTGAGTAATGCTTCAGTTTATTTATCTTGCCATTGCATTTGTTTCGACTGTCGGTTATATATTTTTGTGCATAGTGTATGATTATAAACAGAAAGAAACCCCGTATTTATTATTCGTAGTGGTGTGTCAATCGGGGATCACGGATAAATGCGGGTTGTTTAAATTTTCTTACGCTGCGGTGCAATTGCCGGCGCTGCTAATTGGCAACATAACATTGAACATTAGTGAGTTTTTAAAATTCTGCTATGTTATAGTGCTGCTATAGTCATTATTTGACAACACTGATTATCAAGTCTATTATCGCATTTCGCACGTGCAAGTGACTTTAAAAAATTACTCGAATTTGTGTCTGAGAGATTGATTAAACTTCACTGTGACTAAAGTGGGAATGTTTTTTCAGGAGTTGAATGATTTGCATATCCAACTTTGAAAATTGGTATTGGATCAAAGATTAAGAACAACAACTTATCTGCAATCAGGTTGTTTGATTATAGAGGTAATTGAAAGTTTTTCACGTCCTTTGAATTTTTAAATTTCTGATACAAACTCACTTAAACAATGATTTATGCTAATACTTGAAGGTGAAAGGCACCCACAAGGCATTAGTAGGTTTTAGGGCCTATTTGAGAAAGCTTATGGAAGCAACTTATGAATTCAATCTGGGTTGTAGCTTTTTTACTGGTTATCTTGCTAACTCGTATATTTATCCGGTCAGTTTATTATTTTTCTTCAAATTTACGCAGGTTGTGCTAAGGTTTAGCTTGTACTTGAAGCATATTTTATAGTTTTGCATAAAGGGAATGGGTTATATTGGGTCTCATGGTGTTGCAGCTCTGCATAAATACAAATATAGTGGTGTAGATCATTCCTATGTGGCAAAATATATACTACAGCCCTTCTGGACTCGCTTTGTTCACTTTTTCCCCCTATGGATGCCGTGAGTACTTTTTGTGCTTTCAAGCTAAGTTGTTATTCTTTTTGCTATAACATAATTTTTGTTATTCTTTGTGTTTTGCATTTTCTGACTCTTACCAAACAACTATTATTTACTCTTCTGTTGATACTATAGTTTAATTATCCTACAATCTTATTTTTGTTATCTTAATTCACTGACTTATACCTTTTTCTTTTTTTTTTAATCCTTATTATTGGGCGTTTTGGCATTCTTTGATATTTTGCAGTCCAAACATGGTACACATTTGCTTCCTTTATTTTTGTAGTATCATCTTTAATTGTTACTCTTTTTATGATCATAATCTATATTTCCTTGGCACTGATATTTCTTAAATTGTTTGGTTCCAGATAACTCTGATGGGCTTTATGTTCTTATTATTGTCTGCAACACTTGGCTATGTGAGTGGAACCCGAATCCATTAATTTTCTTGTTTCATAAATTGGAAAACACAATAGTGATAGTTTTCCAGTGCCTTACATCAATTTTCATTTTTCCATATGATATCAAATGAAATTTGCAATTTGTTGAAACAAATATATGAAATAAGTATCTTTAAGATTGCTGGTTAAGTTCATGGTTTATCGAGATTTTGTTTTAGTGGAAGTGTTCAGTGCATGGCCGTGGAAGGGAATTTGGATATAGTATGAATGACTTTGTTGAAACAGTGAATTCTTTGATCCATTATACTGAAATCTATTTATTTATTCAGATTTACTCACCTCATTTGGACTCACCTCCTCCAAGATGGGTTCATTTTGCACATGGGCTACTTTTGTTTTTGTACCAGGTTTGTTAAATTATCATATTGTGGTACCAATCTTTTGATTGTAACCAATTCTGGTAAATTTTATGTTTAAATATATTTTTGATTCTTGAAAAAGAAGTCTTTTGAAATTAGTTCCTATTTATTTATTCTTTTATTTTGAGTTCCTACATTTAAAGAAATAGCTTGCTTTTAGCCTTTTTTTCCGTAAGACTTGCACTATCTGGAAATTACATTAGACTCTGACTAATCTGAGTCAATGTAAGTACACTAAAACACTAACATAAATACAGTGTTAAGCTTTTTCAGCGCCTATTTTTAATTCTCTCCAAAGGCTTAAAACACGCTTTTAATGACTAAAACACACTGTTTTTGTTAAGTATTCTTTTGATTATTGTTTTCTCTCATATATGTGTTTGTTTATATGTAGACATTTGACGCTGTTGATGGGAAGCAAGCTAGACGGACAAATTCTTCAAGTCCGTTAGGGGAGCTGTTTGATCATGGTTATTTTCATTCACCATGTTTTTCATTCAATTAATTTTTATCATGTATACGCGTATGTCATTAATGAAGATATTTTCAACTAAATTGCAGGGTGTGATGCACTTGCTTGTACAGTATGTCTCTTTTAGTTCTTTGGCTATTGTTTTCAAACCATTAAAAGCAAATAAAGACAGTCATCTATTAGAACTACTTTTCAGTTTGAAGCACTTGCTTTTGGGAGCACATCCATGTGTGGAAGAAGTACTTTCTGGTGGTGGTTAATATCTGCAATTACATTTTATCTTGCAACCTGGGAGCAGTAAGTTATCACGTTCAATTAATATTTAGTACAATCATTCTTTTTCCAACAACAATAGTTTTAAGATTTAATTACAAAAATAGCTTATATGATAAGCGCTTAATTAGTATGTGTATCTAAAAAAGGGTTTGAGTATTTCACGTTGCACTCTGCGGAGCATGAGATTTTTTTTAACTATCCTTTCTATCAAATAAAGAATGAAATATGATCATATGTTTTTATAAGACTTTTACAAAAAATGATCATCTGTTTTTGTCTTGTTTATAGTGTCCTATTTGAATAAAATGCATCCTGTTTTTGTCTTGTGTGCAACTTTAATACCATAATCTATGTATACTACTTTTAGACATTATAGTGATATTGATTTTCTTTTAAATGTTGTTTTGGATGCAGCTATTTCACCAATACACTTATACTGCCTGTTGTAAATGGACCTACAGAGGGTCTTATGATAATATACTCTGCTCACTTTTTCACAGCTGTTGTTGGTATGCCCTTTCATTGGGTTTTTTGTTATTATGTTTACATGCTTAAAATCCAATGCATATTGTAACTTACTATTTTTCTGCAGGTGCTGAGTGGTGGGCTCAGCAATTTGGAAAGTCTTTGCCTTTTTTGAATTGGTTGCCGGTTCTTGCTGGTAAGATTCTCCATCTCTATATCGTGTTCTTTCTATATTTGGTAAAAAGGCTTACATTTCTCTTTTCTTTCAAGCTATTTGTGATGATTATGATACCTGTACCTGAGTTTAATATCTCGAAAATGTCTTTTCTTAGTATGTAGAGACAATTTTTTTGTTCATTTAATTTTATCACGTTAGAAATATTAGATCTAATGCATGGTGTCCTCATTTTCTACCCAACTCTTAATTTTCTATGGTTTTCATTTTTATTCATAAATTCTATAGTTTTTTGTCTCACTCTAGTTACTATTTTCTAATTTTTTTTAGAAGCATTGAAAACTATTTTTTGTTTTTATTGTTTCCTCTGCACAACTTTGAAAAAGGAAAGAGTGAGCAAGGTAGTATATTTGTAATTAAAAATGAAAATAATAATTAAAAACAACTTTTTTTGCATAAACTTATGAAAACGTTTATTGGTCTGTTTGTACGTAGTTAACCTCATTGTTGTTTAAGTTTTTGATGAATTGCTGATTGATTTTTAAAATTTCTTTCTGGATTTCAGATGTCCCAACATTCACAGCTATATTGTGTTTGATGATAACTTTTGGTGTTATACCAACGGTCGTACTCAAGTATGTATAGATAAAATTATTGAACTTTAATCTTTACTAGCATGCACACTATTTTCTAACTTCTAAACCTTAGACAATTTCTTTTATGTTTTTTATTACTTTACTAGTTTATTTCCTCCCTTTAATGTTTAGTGTCATATTAGGAAAACAAAAATATTCAAGAACCACCACTTTATATTTTTGATGTAAAATTAATGATTATATTCCAATTCTACCCTCAAATTAATAGTACGTGCATCACACTTAAGTCCATCACAAGCCACTTTGCATTTATGACAATGGTTAGTAAGGATAATTTTGTAAAATAGTATGTGCATCACTATTAAGTCCATCCACTTTTCATTTTTTTACAACTTCTGTTATGTGTGATAAAACCTAAAATGACACTTAATGTGCTATTAGCATTAATGGGCTGAAAATGTAGATCCAAGTTGTTAGCATCTGCAAAATGCCATGCCTTTATTGATTCATCAAATCACTAACAAAAGATATACTCAAGGATGGTTTGTAATTTTGATACGTTTATAGACTACTGTGTCACTACCATCATTTAGGAACCAAAATGTGTGTTTGATCTTTCATTTTATCATTAGGCTTTTTTCTTTTTTTAACTGGAATTAGGCTTACAGTACACATATTAATAGGGCATAGTGCTTTGTATTTTTTATCACATCTTATTGGCATATCAGTTTAGTATCCTATAATTTGAACACAAGTATAAGATTTTGGCATACTTCATTCTTATTGTTATATTCATTTAGTGATACTTTTTGCACGTGTAGACAACTATTTCTTAAATGACCTTGTTTTTTTGTTTACTGTTTTCTAAGTTATTTGAGGAAGATCTTTTCAAATGTCAAAATTATTATCTATTGGTTCCATGCAGTGTTATTAATGTTTCTAAGGTTGTGAAGTCAAGAAATGGAAGTATAGCTCTTGCATTGGCAATGGTAACTACTTTTCGTATTGGAATTCTTCCATATAATCTGGTTGCTTTCTTGAAAACTTTTTTTTTTGTGTGCAGCTTTACCCATTTGTTGTCCTTGTCGGAGGAGTGCTTTTGTGGTATAACTCAACTCAAGACGCGTCATTTTTATTTGGAAGATATGCTGCATATTCCATTATTCTTTTGTATATATATAAGCTTAAACTTGGGTGATTTTGATGCAGGGATTATTTGTCACCATCTAACATCATAGCCAATTATCCACATTTAGTTGTTATGGGAACAGGACTTACTTTTGGATATCTTGTGGTAAGTATTTCTATGTCTTAAATTCGTCAAACCATTGGTTTTTGTAAGATAGCTTCTAGGGTTGGGGTAGGCTTAGACCCTTGTTTGGACAAACAATTTTATTAAATGTTTATTGCATAGAAGCTTTTTACATAAGTTCGTACGTCTAAAGTATTTCTATAGCAAAAAACAAAATAAAGTCAAATTATTATCATAAACTATCATGAAGAGCTTATAGAAATAATCTGAAACAGATCTTAATCAATTTCTTAGATAAATTTTAGTTTTTTATTCCTTGTGCATACACTCTAAACTCCTTAGAATATGACTTTTGCTGAGGGAAAGTTAATTTTGCAGGGAAGGATGATTTTGTCTCACTTATGTGATGAACCAAAAGGCTTAAAAACTGGAATGTGCATGGTATTAAGCTGTTTTATTTGAATGTTACTCTCTCAATTTTTTAAGATGCATTATTTTATCATATTTGATTAATGTAGACAATTTCATTCAAGTAACTAATTATTAAAGTTTGTTACACAAAGATAATTAATGTAATCATTATTCATTTTTATACAGTCTCTCATGTATCTCCCACTCGCAATTGCGAATGCACTTGCATCAAAGCTAAATGATGGGTTTGTACTCTGTGACTTTGGATTCTAAATTTCTCTGATTGATATGGTTTAATGTTGATTAGTTCGCTACTGTCACCCCTATCTTCTCATAGAATTTGTTTGATATATTTTTGGCAGGGTTCCTATAGTTAACGAGAGAATAGTTCTTCTTGGTTACTTTGCATTTACAGGTACGTCTACCTTTTTTCTGTTTCGCAAGAAAAGGCAATACTATACTATATCTTAAACTTGGATTGGATCTAACTCAACTCTTCAAAATTGGAGTTAGATTTTGTTTTTGGTTTATAATTGAGATGGAATACTTATCTATTTTATTATATAACTTCTTACTTCTCTTGCTTGATTATTCTGTTTCTGCGAATACAGCATCTCTTTACTTGCATTTTGCAACGTCTGTAGTTCGTGAAATTACCAATGCATTGGGAATATATTGCTTCAGGTAAGTTAACTAGCACTAGATTAGTGTAGTCATTGATATCTTTAATATTTTTTAGGATGTCTAGTTTTGTGTGTATATTGAAAATTGGTTTTCTTTCTATTCTACAAATATGTGGATTATTTGATTAAGTTGGTACATGAATGTGTTTTTGTTGAACTTTGATTGTGGAAAAGTTGATATTAAATTGCCCTAAGTGTGGTTTATCTATGAAATACTGACACACAGGTAATAATTTAAACAAATGAATAAATTAAACATAATCCGTATGTGTGAGTTGTGTCGATGTTGGGCACTAGACATGCTTTTTTTTCCACGGGTGGTTTACTATTTTGTTTTAGGTCTTTATTAAGAACAATATCTTTTGATTCAATGTATCTTACCTTTTTTTAAAATTGCAGGATAACTAGGAAGGAAGCTTGATTCTATCCATGATTTGATTTAGGTATATTTCCCTTTTATAATTCATTGCTTGAGTTTTTGGATTCTTTATTTCTATCTAAATTGTCAATTTCAATTTTATAACGGATTCACTTTTGTTAGAATCAAATGTGATTCTAGTAATGTAAAATTGATGAACATAATTTGACTATTTTCAAGAATTGATTTTGCCTCTAGAATAAATTCTGACAATTCAATTTTACATGAATGCAATCAAACATTAAGAATCACTTTACATGCATGATCAAACACACGTGATCTATTTCCTCTCTCCATGTTAATTCACAATTTTTTGTGATTTCAGCTTGCAAGTAAAGAAAACTACTGGCAAGGGTTTATGTCAATACTAATTTTGCTATTGATTCTTAGATATAGGTTAGGAGATCTATTTGTGGAAACTTAACTGTTTCACCATTATGAATATTAATGTTAGTTTCAATATGTATTGGACTACTCTTTTGGATGGAGTATATTTTTTATTTTGTTTCCTTTGGCTCATAGGAGTAATATTGCCTTCTTTAGGAGCTTTTCGGTTTTTTCTTCAATATTTGAGTTGAATTTTAAATTTTTATTATAGTTAAAATACTCTCTTTACATCAAATTGCGGATTTTTTACTCAAATACCCTATTTTTAATTTTTTTTTCAAAATAATCTATTTTTAAAATTATTTCCTAAAGTACTCTAGTTTGAGAAAAAATTAAGTGTTGTCTCCGTACCAATTAGCGACAGTGTTGTAGGTTTAAGAGGTGTTGCCAATTGGATTGGAGACACTATATGGTGTCTCTAATCCATAGTGTCTCCAATCCAATGGGAGACAATGTGTAAAATTTGAATGTTGTCGCAAATTCATATGGATACAAGGTGTAATCATAAAATTTTAAGCAAAAGTAATTAACATTAATAGTTAATTATATAATTTAATGATGACGATCGGGTTGATCAAACGCCTATCGGTTCCACATCCCGTAGGTACCCTCATTCGCTGTCCTCGTTGTTGATTCACACCAGGTGTTTGAAGATTTGAGGTCTAAGGAACATCAGCAGGATCTCTAAGAAGTCTTGTGTATGAAACAACAACACATTGTCGTAATTAAGTTCGCGACCCATACCAAAGTAGTTGGGATGTGATGAAAGGGACATTGGTGTGCGGTCTGGACGATTAAATGGGGACATCAGTGTGAAAGATTTGTTGGTGAAAGGTTGAAATGATAGTGGTGTTTGAAAGCTATAGGGTTGTTGTGATGTTTGTGTTTGTCGGCTATGGTATGATGTTTGTGTGTGGTGGCTATGGTGTGATGTTTAAGCGTTTTGCCTATGGTACGATGTTTGGGCGTTTTGCCTATAGTACAATGCTTGAGCGTTTTGACTATATCTTGTTGTGTTTGAGACAAGCATATGTATTTTAGGTGTCTTGATAATAGTCATTTTGTTGGAGATGGAATAGGAGACAGTCTTAGTATTGTGGTTGAGTGTCTAACATGTTTGGATTGTAGGTTTGTGTGTTTGTGGGTCGGTAACTCGCACCCTTGTCATTCTTAACTTGCACCCACCTACGGAGTGCATCAAATCTCTCAATACTTTGAATTTTTTCGCCTTCAGGTACGTCCCCTTCTGACCAACGATTCAACTCCCTCTGTAGTTGCTTGAAACTTTGGATGTTCTAGAAGATCATCTCCATCAGAGGCTTCTCTCTCTCTCTCTCTCTCTCTCTCTCTCTCTCTCTCTCTCTCTCTCTCTCTCTCTCTCTCTCTCTCTCTCTCTCTCTCTCTCTCTCTCTCTCTCTCTCTCTCTCTCTCTCTCTCTCTCTCTCTCTCTCTCTCGCGCGCGCGCGAATAAATCACTTTTCCGTAGCGGCGATGGTACATGTTATCACTAATACAAGCATATGTGAAGAGATGTGAAAATAATTGATTACGCCACCTCCATTTATAGTAAAATTACACATTGCATCATGTCTCCAAATGAAATAACGACAACATTCAAATTTAACATTGTCTCCAATTGGATTGGGGACACCATGCAGTGTCTGCAATCCAATTGGGCAACTGCAGTAAAGATATGATCCCATTATTCCATAAGAAGATGGGCATGAGCAAGAAGGGTTAAGCCCATTTCCACAATGTTTATGTGCTTTCTCTCTACAATACCATTTTGGTGAGAGGTGTGGGGACATGTGAGCCTATGAATTATACCCAAATCATTGAGATACCTAGTGAAAGACTTAAACTTCCACCAAAATCAGATTGAACAACTTTAATTTTAGTGTTAAATTGTGTTTGAACATAGGTAGAGAATTGCTTGAACATACCTATTGCCTCAGATTTTTGTCTCAAAAACTACACCCAAGTATACTTAGTATACACATCAACAAACGCTCAGTAGTAAGAGTTACCTTGACTAGAGAGATTTAGAGAAGACCCCACAAATCTATATGAGCAAGAACAAAAGGACTAGAATATACAATAGTTGTTAAAGGTGCATAAAGTCTACGAGACTTGCCTAAGCAACAAGATGAACAAATTTCAACACAATCTTTATTGCTAAAAGAAACATTACACAATTTGAGTACATTTTTAACAACCACTACATTGACATGTCCTATCCTATTGTGCCAAAGGGAAAATTTATTGAAAAAAGAATTAGAGTCATGAGTAACTTGATTATGAGGAGACATACTAGCAGAATTTGCACCTGGTTGCAAGGGAGACTCCAAGGATAGACTATGAAAGCAATACAATCCCCTAGCATCAAGGAATTCCTCTAAAAGCACTTCCTTAGATGCCTGAGATTTAACAAAAACATCTGTTAGAATGAAACTCAAAGAAGACATTATTATCTTTAGCAAACTTGGAAACATAAATGAGATTACAAGTTATGCTAGGTACATGAAGAAAATTGTCTAATTTTAACAAAGAATTATACACATTTTGAGGCTTAATCTTGGCTAATCCCACTGATTTAATCTTTAAACCACGACCATTACCTACAAGAACTTCATTTGAGCCTACATATGGTTGTGTCTGTTGCAAGTGATAATTATGAGAAGTGAGGTGATGAGATGCACCCGAGTCAGCAAACCATGCTTGTGACTCTAAATTTGTAGGTATGTTGAAGTCATCTTAATGAGCCAAGAAGGCTAAGGCTTGTGTGGAGCTTGAAACCTGATTTTGCTGTTCCTCTTTGGATTGAGTAGCTTGAGAATTTGGACTTGCTGATGTAGGATCAAAGGACTCATCATATGTATGCTAGCAATCAATCACTGAATGAGCATACTTACCACATAATTGACACGTGGGTCGATTTCCAGCTGTGTAGGTTGTACGAGCTATGCCACGACCCCTTCCTCTAGAGCTGTTGCCACGACCTCTTGATTGTTGAGGACCATCTCTGATAGTCTTGGAGTTGTAAGTTGCATCTGTGTGAGTAAGATTGGTTGTGGTAGAGGTAAGAGAGAGTTCTTGGCGATACTTGCCTAACTGAGCTTCTTGGATATAAAGATGAGCTTTAATGTCATAGATTATAGAGGGTTCCCCTTTGTTGTAGGTCATCATCACAAACAGATTATATTCCCCTGACACATCTTGTAGAATGACATCAGTTTGATCTCTACCAGAGATAGGATCACTAATTGCAAGAAGCGCATCAACAATGACACGAATGCGCAGAACATATTCAGAGATGGATTTATTTACTTTCTTTGTAGTTTTCAACTCAAATTGAAACTGATGAACCCTAGCCTTTATAACAACATTGGAATGTTTTGTGAATCTGATCCCAAATCTGATACGAATGCTTGCAAAAAAGAATCCTAGGAAGAATAGACTCCAAAATTGTAGATAACAACCATGAAAAAAGCGCATGATCTTGCACAATCCAAGATTCATACTCCTCAGAAATAGTGTTGGAAAGACGATCTTCATTTGTTTTGTAAATTGGTGGAATCTGAGAATTTGCGACGAACTTGTGAAGCTTGTGGGAAAGAATGATTCCTTCAATCTGTTGATTCTATAGAAGAAAATTATTCTCCTGAAGCTTAATAGAAAGTTTGGGGCCAAACACATTGTGATTGGTGGAATTGGAAAACACAGGGGTTTAAGAATGAGATACTTGCTGCGTTTTAGCCATGGAAATGAAACGAAAAAAAAAAGAGAAAGATAAAGGAAGCAAGAGGGAAGGTTCTTGAGAGCTTCAGTGAAAAAGATGAAAGAGAGATGAAAATGGTACACAATGCAAAAGATAAATTGGATCGAAGGCAATTGATACTATGTTAGATTGGAAGAATGCTCTGCATATTCATTCAATAAAATTACACTTTGTGTAATGTATTACATGACGAAACAGTTACAACATATTACTCCTTTATACAAATGATTGAGTTTTCTAACAGAAAACCTAACTAACTCAACCATACCAATGATAGCTATGTTATAACAAGTGCAAAAAGAATCAAAGACTATAACGAAGACTTAAGCCTACCTTAATTCTAATAAAACTACATGGAATTAAATTGAAAACAAAAAGTGAATGCAAATGATTTTATCTATAACAATATATAAAAAAACATAACATAATTTTGTAGTCTATTTTTATTTCAAATATATATTGTTTTAAACTTTTCACAAAACTCTATATTGCAAATATATATATCTCTTGCATTCAATTATATCCTACCATTTTATGAATAATTAAAATTATTAAGAAAAAAAATATGTATCTCCACTTTTTTTATCGTGTTTTGTTGAATATTTATTGTATTGATTTATTATTTATTCTTCTTTTTATTTATTTTAATTTATTGTTTCATTATATAGTGTTCGTTCTAATTTAATTTGCCACTATATTTTATGTATTCACTAGTAGAAAATGGTTTAAAAAAAAAAACAGAGAAGAATAGTGTTATCAAGGATAAAATTGTACATAAAAAGTCTCTCCAAAATTGATAATAATTTTTTGAGTTGACATTATACAGATTGTATATAGCTTCAAATGGCCTTCTCTAACCATTTTGGCAATGACAATGAAGATTTCATTCCCATTCTAGTAAGAAAAACAGAATACAACATGTGAAGCAAGAACATGAAACATCCACTATTCAACAATACCTGAAATCAATCAAAACAACACATCAACAATGTTTCAATGTCTCAAGAAATGTAAATCAATAGAAAGAGAACATACCAAGGTTCCAAATAGGGTATATATGAAGTTCATTGAAGGAATAGAATTGACACCGGCCGCAACGAGCACAAATGTAAGAGAAGCATGAATGTTAATGGTGATCTACAAGAAGAAAAAGAAAACAAATACATCAGAATGTTTGGATTGATAGTGAATTTGGCGAGATCCCGTTGGTGACGTGATTATAGTGTAGATTTTGTTATGATCGCGATGGCACGCTGTGATTCTGTCAAAGTCGTTGTCAATCCAAACATGCACTAAGATGAATGAAAACTTGGGAGATAAAATTGTGGAAATTGTTACCAAAGCTAGTATGTTTTCCCTTATCAAGAAAGACGAAATCAAGACGAAGCCAACTGCGCCGAGTGATCGTACCTGCAAAGCATGATTAAGTTTCTGTTATGAAAATTTTGCTAAAAAATTTCATTAAATAGGTTTAAGTTTGATGCAAAAGGTGATAAATATTACAATTGTGCACACGAAAATTGATTGACTCCAACTGGCTTCCAACCTGATAAGACGCAGAAAAGCAGTTACAAAATCAATTTTTTCTCGTTGCAGAACCAAACACACACTCGGCTTATTTCAACTAAAAAAAGTCAATATCGTTCATCATTTTCTATCTTTGTAAGAATAAGAAAACATTTCGCGGTCTTGCAATAGAAATGTGTATAGTATCAAAAGTTGTGTACAAGGAAATATATTTCATACCTCCATAGAGTGCCCATTGTGTAACCGACTATACCATGCTTAAGCTGCACGAAAGAAATATTAACAAATCAAGTAATTTATACGAAGTTTTACTACAACAAAACTATTGAGTATAAAGACGTTAATAAAAATAACTGACGACTAGAAGGGAAACACAGAATCGAGAGTCTTATCGCCTAGCTCAGAAAATCAATGAAGGTAAAGGCAAGCTCACCAGGTAAGTTAGAGCTTTGACTGGACCAGATAGAACAAACAAAAGTATAGTTGTTGCAACCTACAACAAGAACAACAAAAATCTGATAATGCAATAATAACTATTCAAGAATTATCAATCGCATTTAGTTAAGCAACTAGCAAGTCTAACCAGAGTTTTCCTTCCAGCGTCAATACCCCATCTCATCGAGGATATCACTATCGGCAACGAGAAGAAACAACTGAAGTAATTCTGCAACCAGAAAACAAAAGAAAAAGCCAAATAGTGAGGTCGAAAAAATGTAAGAAATGCCTAAAACATGAACTGAATATTGTCACAATCACCCATTTTTGTTCATACTAACCAATTCCCAACCTAAACAAACAAGGAAAAAAATACTGATTTTTGTTTTTGAACGGAAAAATAATATATAATAGAGAAGTGAAAACCACCGAAGTACACAAGGAAGGGACCAACTAGCACAAGAAGTGCTAAACGAAACACCAACAAGAAAAACAAAGATACAACAGAAAACCTAAAACCAAAGAAACAGCAACAAGAAAAGCCCAGAAGAAACGTACAGAAAAAGCCAAAGCAACTACAAACCCCACCCCATAGGGTTCAGGCTAGAGCTCAGACTACCGGAACCATCAACCGATCGGAACCTACCAAGAGAGAACCAAAAAACCAGATCGGAACCTACAAGAGAGAACCAAAAAACGAGAACATACTATCGATTATTCTACTTTCTTTGACAAACTTTACACACAAACAAATATTCAATTTTGGTTAGAGCCAACCAATTTTCAACCCCAAAATAAAACTCAAACACCATACCAATTTGTCCACCGTGTTCAAAAGCATTCACTACAGCACCTAATGAACCTGCCATAACAGCAACTATAGCTGCAATAGAACCATTTCCTACAAATGTAGAACCTATAGCTGCAATTCCAGTGAGTAATGGACCTGCTATTGCTAAACTCTTGTTAACCTTCAATATTATACTTCCAAGTCTCTCATAATCTTCAATGTCTTTCCTCTTCACAACTCCAATAACTTCTTTCAGTTCCATTTCAAGTTCCTCACTCCATCCATTATTATTATTATTTCCCTTCTTCATCTTTCTTTCTTCTGTATTTCCTTCTTTTCTATTTCTCGGCCACCCAACAGCAGGTTCATACTTCGCAGGAAACTTTTCAAGCATAACACCTGATAAAGGAAGAGGATAAGCTTTTTCAAGAGCCAAAACATCCTCCACCAAACACTTCACATCATGTTCCGTTAGATTTCCAGGAGAAATTCCGTTTTCGATCTTAGCCCTAAGCTGTTTAAACAATCTTGTAGCGAGTTGCGAAGGCTGAATCTTGTTCATGATAAGAAGCAAACCTGTTGCCGCTGAAAACATAAGAGTGGATGAAAGTTTAAGAGCCAGAAGTGGTGCTCCGATAGCACCGGTTGCCGCGGCGACACCGGTTAATGTTGTAGCAGTGAGTGTGATCATGTTGATATTGTTTAGGAGTAGGTTGTTCCAATTCTGACGTTGTTCACTGAGGTTGTTGTGCATTTCTATTCTGTCAGATACAGAATCTAAGATAGCATAAAGTTGCATGGTGACAGTAGAATCCGACAAACCATGTTGAAAATTATGTGTGTTGGTTATAACTGTTAAGAAGTGTGGTTGGGCCTAACTCAACCCTACAAAACCGGTTGGTAGAGTGAGGATTGCCCCCACTTATAAACACATGTTCATGCCATATATTGTCCGATGTGGGACTCTTAGCACACCCCCTCACGCTCAGGAATGCCATATATTGTCCGATGTGGGACTCTTAACAATAACATTCTTTTGATCTGTAAATGTTGATAATCCCTCGACATGTTTTCTAGGAATCTTAGGAACTGAGATATTATTGGTTTCGGGGACATGGATTGCAGCATTTACTGATCTTCTTAAAGGAACATAAGATGAAGAAAAGAATGATGTTGAGGTATGTATGGAATCCAAACTTAAAAATAAATTGGTTGGAAGAATCCAAATCTAAAGTCTAAATGAAATGAATAATTCAATGTAGATTTATTATAATGAGTAAGTTGACAAATTTCCTTGGGGAAGAGTTTTTGTTATTGTTTTCTCAAAAGCAACATAGATGGGTATAAAAGAATATGCCACAAAACAGCACACAAGAGACATTGAAAGAGAATATGCCTTTCTGAACATGAACAAAATAAAACAATAACACTAATTGTTTTTTCTTTTCATTTGAATTCAAGTGAATTGATTCAACATTTCTTTTGCTTGGACATGGAAGATGAAAATTCATCAGCTAGTTTTCTCTTCAATTCGAACACAACCATTTCTCAAAGTTGAAGGTTTCTGTAAGTTCAGTTTCATTGCACCATCTCTCTGTGTGCTCATCCATTGTTTTCTCAGCATTTTAAAGAGTTAAGCCTAATCACTAAGATGGATAATTTCCATTTAGTTCATCTTTCTCATAGTCATTGTGATCTTCAACTATTTCTATACATTATCTTCAACTGAAATAATACAAGTTATTCACAAGCATGAATTGAAAACTTACAAACTATGATACCCCGTTTGTTGAGATTCATCCTTCTTCAATGAATGCCTAGATTTTTTAGGTTGTTCAAAAAGGTTTCTCCAATAATGGAACCAACCTTAACAAACACGCAAGGATAACGTATTGGAGCTTCTATCCATGATTCACTTCCTTGTTTTGAAAACCTCAATGGCAAGAGAATTACTCAAAAAGTATACCAAACCACCCAAACAAAGATCAAATTTTTATCAAAGCCAACCAATTTTCAACCAAAAACATTACAAACCCATTATTCCAATTCCTTACCCAAACAATCCTATACAAAAACACAAACCCAAATTATGATTCTAAATATCAAACCTCAATAGCAAGCAAATTGCCCCAAAAGTAGACAAAACCATATAAACAAAGATGGAATTTTTGTTATATATAATCAATTTCAACCAAAAAAAACACAAACCCATTATTCCAAATCCTTAACCAAACAAACCTATATAAAAAAGACCCAAATTTTAATTCTTAATAACAAACCTCAATGGCAAGAGAATTGCTCAAGAAATAGACCAAACCAGTGAGGGCAGCAAACATGGAACACTCAACCAACTGCAGTGTCTTCTGATACACTTCCCCTTTTGGCGATAAGTCCTGAAGTTGTTCATCGTTGCTGAAAAGTGGTAATTTAATGTTTGAAAACCTTTGAATGGGGAATGAAAGAGGGGGTGGTTGGGGTTTGAGTTTGAGAGAAAGTTTTTGTAGGGGAGATGGTGGAAGAGAGAGAAAGTGAGGTTGGAGAGAGAATGTGTGGAGTTGGTTTGGTTTAGAAATGGAGAAGAAGGGAGAATGGTGTTGATGAGTTTTTAGTGGAATCATGGAGGAGAGGATTTCAAGGTTGGGTTTGGTTCAATTGAAAAAAAACATGAAAAAGTGTTGCAGAAATTGGGGATAGTGCATGTTTATAGACAGAAAGAAACACCGTATTTATTATTCGTAGTGATGTTTAAATTTTGTTACGCTGCGGTGCAATAGCCACTGCTGCTACTTGACAACATATCGTGGAACGTTAGTGATTTTTATTTTATTTTTTCAAATTCTGCTATGTTTTGAGACCTGGGCAGTCGATATTCTTGGTTGGGGTTTCTCTGATTTAGGTTTGTTTTATTACTTTGCCTGTTGTATCTTGTTTATTTACTTACCCCCTTCTTTGTGGGATTTTTTATGCTTTCAACTCTAAATTTTGTGGTTTTTGTAAGATAGCTTCTAGGGTTGGGGTAGGCTTAGACCCTTGTTTGGACAAACAATTTTATTAAGTGTTTACTGCATAGAAGCTTTTTATATAAGTGTCTAAAGTATTTCTATAGCAAAAAACAAAATAAAGTCAAATTATTATCATAAACTATCATGAAAGAGCTTATGAAGATGCATTCAGAGTATCAGTTGAGACAGTAGTTGATTGGATTGCCCGTGAAGTAAACAGGAACAATACATATGTCCTTTTCCAAACTTATGCTCCTGTGCATTTCAGGTTTGCCTCAATTTTCAAACAAAATTTACCTATAAGTTTATCTTTATGTAACAAATATATTAGGATTAGGATTGATAAAAGGCCACTACTTATTTTCTTCATATAGTAATGCTAATGTTATTTGTTTCAGATTCAAAGACATTGAAACATGTGTATAGAATATTTTGCAAGTTATTCTTTCTCAGCATATTGCTGTTAGCTGATCTGGTTTTGTTCCTTATCAGGGGTGGTGACTGGAATACTGGTGGTGGTTGTCATTCGGAAACACTACCTGATTTAGGCTCCTTACCGACACTGTCCGACATGCATTTCAGTACTGTTGCTAATGTCTTGCCACAGCGCGCAAATAAATCAGAAGGGCTGAACTTAGACTTGCTTAATGTCACACAAATGTCAGCACGCAAGAAAGACGGCCATGCATCTATTTACTATCTAGGGCCAAAGAGAACAGCCTCTATGCAGCGGCAAGACTGTAGTCATTGGTGCCTTCCTGGTGTTCCTGATTCATGGAACGAGATTCTTTATTCTCTATTTCTCAAGAAGACTTTTTCAGGTCACTGTAAATAGCTTATACAATTTGCATGGAATCGCTTATAGACAAATCTTCGTCAACTCTACTCAATCATTGGCGAATGACATGAAGCTGGAAGCTAAATTTGCCATCTTAATTCTTTATGGTCAGTTTCACTAATTGGTGCAAGTGCAACTAACTATTTGTTAGTTTGCCCTGTGCTGTTACAAAGCAAATAAATTAACATGTTTGGTTTAAGAAAAGTGTCTCTTGTTTCGGTTTTCTAATTTTACTAAGAGTTACAAACACATCCTTTAATTTCACGTTATTTCCTATGTTTGAAGATCTGTACATCATAAACAAAATAGTTTTTTTGTTGTACAAATCCTTGAAAATTTGAAATGAAGTGAAAATAAGATATTGTGTTCATAACTATTAGTTAAAATTGAAAATGCGCAAACAGAAAATATTTTCTTAAATTGAACATGCTAAGTTATTGTTTAGATTAATATGGAATGATGAATTTGAGGCATAGCAGATAGCTTATAGAAAAATAACAATGTTAGTATGAGAAAGCATACTGCATTTTTTGTATGGTAAATCTGAAGTTACATTGGTCTTGAAAATATTAGTGGAAGATGTGCCAAGTTTTTTATGTTACATTATTTGCATACTACATACTACTAGTATATTAGACGAGATTAATGGAAGTAATCTAAGTTAAAGTTTCAAGGTTTATTTGCCTTTGTGATCTGGTTTGAATGAATCTGGATGATACTAGAAGTTATTGACCATTACTTTTCTTGAAATTGTTAGTATGTACGTTGCGTGATCCATACTCTGCAATGCCTCAATGTATTCAATAACATCAAAATCAAAACATAAATGTCAATTGGAATTTTATTACTATTATATTACCATTCAAATAGTAGTAATAAATGGATCTGAAATATTCTTCAGAAAATATATCCAAGCAACAAACGAGGCATTTATGAGTTAAACAATTGGGCTTTTCCCTCGTGAATATAAAATAGCACATCTCAACTCTAATTGAAGTTACGTGTGACACTGATGCATGAAGTTACATTCCATCTTGTATATTTTTATAAATAATTATTGGTGTATCTGAATCAGTGTCAGTATCATGTGGTGTTCCTGTTAGCGTTGGTCCTTTGTAGTGTATGAGCAAAGTACTAGTTTGTGTGTGTTAAAGATTTGAAGGGAAATTTAAATATCTATAGATTGCTGTTCTAGAATATTTTCCTTAAAGCTTATATGTTTGTAGTTTGAATGAATGAGGATTAGTGAGTTTATAGCGATATGGAAGATTCTGTTCTAGCAGTTCTTATTAGTCTTTGAATAATGCTTCAGTTTATTTATCTTGCCATTGCATTTGTTTCGACTGTCGGTTACATAATTTTGTGCATAGTGCATGTTTATAGACAGAAAGAAACACCGTATTTATTATTCGTAGTGATGTTTAAATTTTGTTACGCTGCGGTGCAATAGCCACCGCTGCTACTTGACAACATATTTTACTAAATAATGTATCGTGGAACATTAGTGATTTTTATTTTATTTTTTTAAATTCTGCTATGTTAAGTTCATGGTTTATCGAAAATTTCTTTAGCGGAAGTGTTCAGTACATGGTTGTGAAAGGGAATTTGGATATAGTAAATGCTTTGTTGAAACGGTGAGTTCTTTGATTGATTATACTGAAATCTATTTATTTATTTATTCAGATATACTCACATAAACAAAGATGCAATTTTTGTTCAATATAATCAATTTCAACCACATAAATATACTGAAAATTTGATTCTAAATATCAAACCTCAATAGCAAGCAAATTGCCCCAAAAGTAGACAAAATCACATAAACAAAGATGCAATTTTTGTTCTATATAATCAATTTCAACCAAAAATAACACAAACCCATTATTCCAAATCCTTAACCAAACAAACCTATATAAAAAAGACCCAAAATTTGATTCTTAATAACAAACCTCAATGGCAAGAGAATTGCTCAAGAAATAGACCAAACCAGTGAGTGCAGCAAACATGGAACACTCAACCAACTGCAGTGTCTTCTGATACACTTCCCCTTTTGGCGATAAGTCCTGAAGTTGTTCATCGTTGCTAAAAAGTGGTAATTCAATGTTTGAAACCCTTTGAATGGGGAACGAAAGAGAGGATTGTTGGGGTTTGAGTTTGAGAGGGAGTTTTTGTGGGGGAGATGGTGGAAGAGAGAGAAAGTGCGGTTGGAGAGAGAATGTGTGGAGTTGGTTTGGTTTGGAAATGGAGAAGAATGGAGAATGGTGTTGATGAATTTTCAGTGGAATCATGGAGGAGAGGATTTCAAGGTTGGGTTTGGTTCAATTGGAAAAAAACATGAAAAAGTGTTGCAGAAATTTTTGTTTATTTTCTTTTTGTCAAAAAATAAAGTTTTTATATTAAAAAGAAATCGATTCCAAACTTTTGGATATTTTTGGTTGGTTGGACAATGATAGAATGAAATAAAATAAAGTGATATATAACCATATTTTTGTTAGGATTTGTAAACAATGTAAGCGAAATGAATCACGATGAAATCTATTTTATTATATTTCAACGAATTTTTTAATTTTCATTTGAGATATATGTAATAGAACTAACTTGTTTTCATTTGAGATATATGTAATAGGGTTTGAGTTCTTTGCTAGCATGCAAGGAACTACATGTTGAACATCTTTTGCTCGTATTAAGGTGGTTGATTATAGTTCTAGAACAACCAACCATATGTTAAGCTTAGAGCACCTAGAATGTGTGAACTTCACAAGACGAGGCATGTGGACCCAACTCCCAAATGGGAGCAATGAAATATTATTTTGTAAGAAATTGGCCAAGAAGGGGCCACATGGTTCAAGATAAATGACATACTTCTATAAATAATGGTGGCTTCCAAGCTTAAACCATACTACAAAATGGGCTAATCATTCTTTTTTCAAATATGGAGAGCATTCCTAATCATTTAGACTGTGACATCTTGAGGGTGCGTGCCTTACTAGCTATTAATGTAAACCCTATAAATGTGGGGGATGTGATTTCTAATAAGATATAATGTGGATGTATATGTTGTGCAAGTATAACCATTATTTGGTTTTTATGATGACAACTATCAAGCAATTTAAAAGATGACAACTCCATAAGTCAAACGATATTTGGTGTTAGTGATTCAAGAACTTCCTGGTGACTATTGTTAAATGGGGAGTTGATTGTGACTATTCATTGGTTCGTGATGATGGAATTCAAACAAGATACCACTAGTTTCATTAGTCGAAGATATCAAGTTCAAGTTGAAAATGCTAGACTTTATTGAATCAAGCAAGTGACTTGAAGACTTGAAGCTATTATTTTTAAGCTTGGAGACTTGAAATTGTAAAATTGTGAAAGCTCGTATGGTCCTGCATTTATTGATCTTTTTCTAGTCTTGATCAATTTATTGTAAAAGCAATAAGAGCAAGTCTTGAGTTACTAAGATAATGCAGACACACAAAATTCTTTTTAAACCTCTTTTCTCTTTTGATAAAATCTCTTAAAATCAATCTGAACAAGCACTTATATGGTTAGAAGCCTGATTAATCTATTACGAAGGTATTTTATAATGGTTAATCGATTACAGGTTTCTTCCAATGGACTAAAGTTATTTGTAGCACCTTTTAATTGATTAAATAAGTTGTTGATCAATTAGGTAATATAAAAACTCAAACTTTCTTAATTTGGGTTGGTCAATTAATTATCACATAGGGTTAATCAATTATATCATTAAAAAGGCCCATGAATCGTTTCCTTTTTGAACCAAATTTTCTACTCTATAAAGGAGACGTATCATCATTTCATTTCAGACCATTTTTTTTTTAACAGAAACCTTTCTATTATTCTTTCTACTCTCTTTCATTTTAATTTTTTTTCACTAAAATTGCCTTACTATCAGAAGAGTGAAAAGTTTCTTCTGAGAGTTATGTTGTACTGGTACTGAGAGTTCTATTGTACTGGTATTGTTGTGGTAAGTAGCATCCAAGGATTAGCCCACTTAGCCAAAAAAAATCTTACCTTAACGTTGGACATGTTACAACCCTTAAGACCTCAAATGTGTGTGTGTGTATAAGAATGATTCGATAGATTGTTTAGAAATTCTTCAAGCCTATGGTAAAATGATCTATACTTGTTAATTGATTGGAAATTTTCCTTTTGAGTGAATTGGTGAGAAGAGATAAAATTTAAATAGATAAGATGCATGGATAAAGTCTTTTGATTTATCCGTCATAAGGTATGAGAACGAAAGTGGAGATTAAACATGACCACAGAAATACCTTGGTAAGTAGCATCAACTTATAAATTATTATAGAAGCAGATATATCCTCATTTTAAAATCTCATTTTTCAAGTATTTTTCTAGAAGACAAGGAAATTTTCAAGTTTGGGATTGTGATGATAGTACATCGTAATATGTTTTAAGTATTAAATTTTATTTTATTTTTGAAAGTAATTTTATTGTTAATGCATTTCAATTTTGTAGGATTTACATAAAGATTTTGAAAAGTTGTGGAAAAGATAAAAAAGAAGATGATAATTAACAAAGATGTTATTTTTGATTAGCAGTTAATGTTGAAGCATACAATTGTAACATATGTATCATCATGTGAAGGAGAAACTTCTAGCAAACAGATGATTCAGGTGGATGTTGATCTGCCACCAGTGAATAATATGCAAGTAGTTCCTAAACCAGAGGAGGAAATAAGCTATGATACTTAAATCAGCCATGGACCTGAAGTTTCAGGTTGAATACATGATTATATTCTTGTACGTGACATAGAACACCATTCAACCAAGCCACTATAAAGATATGGGTATGAATACTTTGCATCTTATGCACTTCTTATAAGTTCTGAAGACCGTTCTATTTTTTTAGAGGCTATATCTATCTTAAAAAAGATAAGTAAATGAGGACAATGATGGATGAGATGGGTACTCACAATAGAAGATGGTTGATTTTGATGAGATTTTCTCTCTGGTCGTCATACATACTTCTATCAAAGAAATGTTATCCTTGGTAGCTAACCAAGATATGCATTTAGAGCATGGATGTGAAGACATAATTTCTTCACAATAATCTAGATGAACAAATTTACATGAAGCAACCATAGGGGTTCAATGACACTGGACATGAAAAACTAGTTTTTAAATTAAAGAGGTCTTTATATGGTTTAAAAAATTCTTCAAGACAATGGTATAAGCACTTTGATTAATACATGTTCAAGATTGGTTGCATAAGGTGTGAGTATAACTATTGTGTTCATGTTAGGCATCTTGATGATGAATTATATATTTTTTCTATTTATTGTATGTTAATTGGTGATAATCATTTACATGATACAAAATGAACTGAAAATTATGTTAGCAAAGAAGTTTCACATGAAAGACTTAGGCACATCTAAGAAGATTCTTGGTATGAAAATTCACGGGAATAAGATTGCTAGAAAATTATGAATCTCTCAGAAAAGCTATGTTAAAAAGGTGCTAAGCAAGTTTGACATGAGCAATTCGAAGGTTGTGAGTACTCCATTGACAAATCATTTTAAGCTCTCATTGGATCAGTGTCCAAAGGCATATGCAGAAGCTGAATATATGTCAAAGGTCCCTTATGCTAGTGGTGTTGGTTGTTTAATGTATGCTATGGTCTGCACTATACCAAATTTAGCACAAGTTGTAAGTCAAGTTTGTAAGTTTATGTCCAAACTAAGAAATCATCATTAGGAAGCAGTCAAATGGATTTTCAGGTGCTTGAAGGGTACTATGAGTTATGGTATCATGTTCAGTAGTGAACAAGGTGATTCTTTAATTGTAGGATATGTTGATTCAGGCTATGTTGGTAACATGGATGATAGGAGATCTATAATAGGGTATGTTTTTACTTTATCAGAATGACTTATTTGTTAGAAAACTCGGGTTCAATCCATAGTGGCCATGTCAACAACTGAAGCAGAGTACACGACGACAAGTAAAGCTGTCAAATAAGTCTTATGACTTACAGGATTAATGAGAGAATTGGACGTTGAGCAATATACAGTTCGGTTGCATTGTAATAGTCAGAGTACCATTTATTTAAAAGTAAGTAAGTATATCATGGAAGAACCAAATATATTGATGTGAGGTCAAAAAATACACCAATTTGAGATATTTTACTATAAAAATACCTTAAACATCGAAGAAAACTAAAGACCTCTAGATCATTATTATGATCAAAAGATAAAGATTTATATTTTATTTACAAGACCAATAACTTTCAAATCTTCACCGATATAGATTTTAAAATTTTATTTTACAAGTTGGATTTTAATGATAAAAATACTATATTTTTACTTTTTAAATTAAGAAAGATGTATGATTGAGGTAGAATTCAAATTCAACAAATAAGTTAGGTGCAAACATAAAAGCACGAAAAAGGAGTATAAAGCTACACTTCTTTTCATTCATTTCAATACAAGATACATGAAATTAGTACTTTTCATATAGCTTTCACACATAAAAGACAATGAAACAACATTTGGAAAAGACTAAAAAAACACACAAAAGAACCTACTCTCTTTTATTGATTATGTTTCACAATCATAAAGAGAACTAGAAAAAGCAAAATTACAATAACAAAAAAGAAGCAATGAGCTAGAGATCATGTCATATCATGTGATATCCAAAGCATATACTTGAGCTTGGTTTTATTAATTAGGTCATTACTTAGTTATGTCTTCATATGCTTTCATCCAATGCTAAGATGGTGCTAAGGTTCATTGGATTCATGTAAGCCTTAGAGCCAGACATGATATCATTCACAATAAGCTTGTTTGCCTTTTCAGATGGATGGAATGCATCCCAAAATGCATACTCATCTCTATTGGAACACAAGTTTGAGAGTGGTGTGCATAGACCTATTCCATTGTTTGGTCCTTGTCCACAACATGCTATTTTTGATGTTCTGAAACCATATTGTCCCGGGTTCTTTACGAAATTCAGGTGAGTTTTTCCCGTGTTGGCAGCGATGAAAACATCTCTACCAAGTTTCTTGTTGAGTGCTAGTAACATGCTTTCAAGTTGAGGATTGAACAATGATGAAGCTCTTTGAATCTCAGTTGAACATTCTCCATTTCTTCCACGTTGCGCTATTTCGGATGGAACACATCCCATTGGTCCCGTTCCTGTCACAAGCACTCTTCTAGCTCCCAAATCATACAGTTTCTGTAACAACAAACCATATTCAACTTACATGCACCAACACAGACACGAGACACGAGACGTTAACATCAGTAATA